TTTTTTGGCCATTTTTTGCAGGCATGCAAAGAAAAATGTAAGAATCGTATATGCAAAATTTCATAATTTATTGACGTCTTGTTTATTTTATTTTATTTTTTAAAGACCAAAAATAAAGAAAATAAAAAAAGTAGAATATTCACTAAAAATGGTGCCGCTTGTTGCATTAATTCCTAAAAATCGTATATTAATTTTAGAATGCAAAACATAAATAAAAATGTAAACTAATGACCTATCTCGGCCCCTAGGGGCCCCACTACGCGGTCCGGGGGCTTTTTTACAGCGTTTTACTTTTTTTTTGTGATTTTGTGAGGCCATTGTTACAGGCATGCTCAGAAAAATGTAAGGATCATGTTTGCAAAATATCATACTTTTTTTACGTCGTTTTTCTTTTATTTTATTTTTTAAAGACTAAAAATAAAGAAAATCATAACAAATAGAATATTCATCAAAAAATGGTGTCGCTTATTGCATTAATTCCTAAAAATAGTATATTAATTTTAGAATGTAAAACATAAATAAAAATGTAAATTTTTGACCCATCCCGGCCCCTGGGCGCACCACTATGCGGGTCTAGCGTTTTTTGACGCCGTTTTACTTTTTTGTCATTTTTTGAGCCCATTTTTTGCAGGCATACCTAAAAAAATCTAAGGATCGTGTCTGTAAAATTTCATAATTGGTTAAAGTTATTTTTATTTTATTTTTTTAAATATAAAAAATAAAGAAAATCATAGAAAATAGAATATTCATGAAAAAATGGCGCCGCTTGTAGCTTTAATTCCTAAAAATTGTATATTAATTTTAGAACGCAAAACATAAATAAAAATGTAATTTTTTGACCCATCCCAGCCCATGGGTGCCCCCTACGCGGGCCAGGGACTTTTTGACAGCGTTTTACTTTTTTGTCATTTTTTGAGGCTATTGTTTGCAGGCAATAAATAAAAATCTAAATTTTCGACCCATCACAGCCCCTGAGTGCCCCACTACGCAGGCTGGGGGCTTTTTGACAGCATTTTATTTTTTTTCTCATTTTTTTGCCCATTTTTTGGAGACATTCACATGAAAATGGAAGAATCATATATGCAAAATTTCATAATTGGGTGACATCGTTTTTATTTTATTTTATTTCTCAGAGACGAAAAATAAAAAAAAATCATAAAGACAGAATATTCATCAAAAAATGGTGGTGCTTGTTGCATTCCTAAAAATCATATATTAATTTTAGAATGCAACACATAAATAAAAATGTTAATTTTTAACCCATCCCGTCCCCTGGGCGCCCCACTACGCGGGCCGGAGGCTTTTTGTCAGCATTGTACTTTTTTTGTCATTTTTTGAAGCCATTTTTTGCAGGCATGCCCAGAAAAATGTAAGGATCGTGTTTGTAAAATTTCATAATTTTTTGACGTTGTTTTTATTTTGTTTTATTTTTTAAAGGCTAAAAATAAAGAAAATCATAAAAAATAGAATATTCATGAAAAATTGGTGTCGCTTGTTGCATTAATTCTTAAAAATCGTATATTAATTTTAGAACGCAAAACATAATTCAAAATGTAAATTTTTTACCCTTCTCGGCTCATGGGCGCCCCATTATGTGGGCTTGGAGCTTTTTGACATCGTTGTACTTTTTTTTGTCATTTTTTGAGGCTATTGTTTGCTGACAATAAATAAAAAGCTAAATTTTCAACCCATCCTGGCCCCTGAGCGCCCCACTACGCAAGCCGGGAGCTCTTTGACAAAATTGTACTTTTTTTGTCATTTTTTTGGCCATTTTTTACAGGCATGCATAGAAAAATTTAAGAATCGTATATGCAAAATTTCATAATTTATTGACGTCTTTTTTATTTTATTCCGAAAAGTCCCCGGCTAGAGAAGTGGGGCGCCTAGGGGTTTAGATTGGTGAAAAATTTACATTTTTATTTATCTTTTGTGTTCTAAAACTAATATACAATTTTTAAGAATTAATGCAACATGCGGCACCATTTTTCAATGAATGTTCTATTTTTTTATGATTTTCTATATTTTTTGCCTTTGAAAAATAAAATATAATATAATAAACAAAACGACATGTTGTTTTTATTAATGCATCAAAATGACATGTCATTTAGTCAAGCACGACCAAAAAAATCCACAGACAAAACGGCATGTCATTTTTCTAATCTGACAAATCGAAGTCATTTTCTAAAAAAAGACAACTTTCAGCAACAAAACGACATGTCATTTTTTACCGATGACTCAAAACAATGTCGTTTTGACAAAAAGAACAAAAAACTTTCACGAACGAAACGACATGTCGTTTTTCTCTGATTCTCTATTTTTCATCTTTAAAATATAAAATAATCTAAAAATGACGTCAGAATATTTTGAAATTTTACAGACTTGATCCTTACCATTTTCTGAGCATGCTTGCAAAAAAAATGGCTTCAAAAAATGAAAAAAGAAAAATACTATCAAAAAGTGTCCGACCCACGCAGTGGGGCACCCAGGGGCCGGGATGGGTCAATAATTCACATTTTTAATAATTTTTTCCATTCTAAAATTAATACACGATTTTTAGGAATTAATGCAACAAGCAGCACCATTTTTTGATAAATATTCTATTTTTTATGATTTTTTTCTCTTTTTCATCTTTAAGAAATAAAGTAAAATAAAAACAATGTCATCGAACTTTGAAATTTTGCAGACATGATCATTACATTTTTCTGAGCATGCCTGCAAAAATTGGCTTCAAAAAATGAAAAAAGAAAAATACTGTCAAAAAGCATCAAACCCACGCAGTGGGGTGCCCAGGGGCCGGGATGGGTCAATAATTCACATTTTTATTTACACAATTTTTTAGAATTAATGCAACAAGTGGCACCAGTTTTTGATGAATATTATATTTTTTATGATTTTCTCTATTTTTCATCTATAAAAAATAAAATAAAAATGACGTCAGAAAATTCTAAAATTTTGGAGACATGATCCTTACATTTTTCTGAGCATGCTTGCAAAAAATGTCTTCAAAAAATGAAAAAAGAAAAGCGATGTCAAAAAGCATCCGGCCCACGCAATAGGGCGCCTAGGGGTCGGGATGGGTCAAAAATTCACATTTTTATTAATTTTTTGCATTCTAAAATTAATACACAATTTTTATGAATGAATGCAACCAAACTTTTTTCTGAACATGCATGCAAAAAATCTCGCTCAAAAAATGAAAAAAAAAAAACCGATGTCAAAAAGCTCCCAGGCGTGCGCAGTAAGGCGCCCAGCGGCCGAGGGGTCAAACATTCATATTTTTATTTACATTTTGCATCCTCAAATTAATACATGATTTTTAAGAATTAATGAAACAAGTGACACCATTTTTCGATGAATATTAACGTTTTAAGATTTTCTCTATTTTTCACCTTTAAAAAATAAAATAAAATAAAAACGACGTCAACAAATTCTGAAATTTTGTAGACACGATCCTTGCATTTTTATAAGCATGGCTGCTTAAAATTGCCCACAATAAATGAAAAAAAAAAAAAGATATCAAAAAGCCCCCCGGCGAGTGCAGTGGGGCGCCAATCGACCAAGGGGTCAAAAATTGACATTTTTATTTACGTTTCACATTCTAAAAATAATACACGTTTTTTAGGAATTAATGCAACAAGTGGCACCATTTTTCATTGAATATTCTATTTTTTATGATTTTCTCTTTTTCGCCTTTAAAAAATAAAATAAAATAAAAACGACGCCAAAAAATTCTAGAATTTTACAAACACGATCCTTGCATTTTTCTAAGTATGCCTACAAAAAATTGCCCTCAACAAATGAAAAAAAAAAAGATATCAAAAAGCCCCCCGGCGAGTGCAGTGGGGTGCCCAGCGGCGCGGGGGGGTGGGGGGGTCAAAAATTCATATTTTTATTTATGTTTCACATTCTAAAAATAATACAAGATTTTTAGGAATTAATGCAACAAGCGGCACCTTTTTTCGTTGAATACTCTATTTTTTATGATTTTCTCTATTTTTCACCTTTGAAAAATAAAATAAAAACAACATCAAAAAAGTCTAAAATTTTACAGACACGATCCTTACCTTTTCTGAGCCTGCCTGCAAAAAAAGAAAAAAAAAAACAATGTTAAAAAGCTCCTCGGCGTGCATAGTGTGGCGCCAAGCGGCCGCGGGGGGCTCAAAAATTCACATTTTTATTTATATTTTGTATCCTAAAATTAATACTCAATTTTTAGGAATTAATGCAACAAGCGGCACCATTTTTTGTTGAATACTCTATTTTTTATTATTTTCTCTAATTTTCGCATTTGAAAAATAAAATAAAATAAAAACGACATCAAAAATTTTTAAAACTTTGCAGACACGATACTTATATTTTTCTGAGCTTGCCTGCAAAAAAAAAGCCCTAAAAAAAACGATGCCAAAAAAACCCCCGACGCGCAATAGGGCACTCAACTACTAGGGGGTCAAAAATTCACATTTTTATTTATATTTTGCATTCTAAAATTGACACGTAATTTTTAGGAATTAATTCAACAAGCGGAACCATTTTTTGATGAATTTTTTATTTTTTATGATTTTTCCTATTTTTCACATTTGAAAAATAAAATAAAATTAAAACTACGTCAAAAAAATTCTGAAATTTTAGAAAAACGATCCTTACATTTTTTTAAGCATGCTTGCAAAAAATCTCCCTCAAAAAATGAAAAAAAATAAAATGATGTCAAAAAAAGCCCCCCAACATGCACAGTGAGGCGTCCAGTGACCGGGGGGTCAAAATTTCACATTTTTATTTATATTTTACATCCTAAAATTAATACACAATTTTTAAGAATTAATGCAACAAGCGGCACTACTTTTCGATAAATATTATATTTTCTATGATTTTCTCTATTTTTTGCCTTTGAAAAATAAAATAAAATAAAAATAACGTCAACAAATTATAAATTTTTGCAAACACAATCTTTACATTTTTCTAAACATGCTTGCTTAAAATCGCCCTAAAAAAAAATGATGTCAAAAAGCCCCCCGGCACGCGCCGGGGGGTCAAAAATTCACATTTTTATTTATATTTTGTATCCTAAAATTAATGCACGGCTGCAGTAGACATGGATGAACAGCCTCTATCGATTATTCAAGGGAATCTGCAGAAAGGGTAACTCTCTCATTTTTGACATGTCTTCAAAAAATTGCAAGTTGCTACAACAAAAACTTGTGGCAAGTTACAGGTTGGGTACAAGAGACTTGTTTCTGGAGCTACTACGCAGGTTCATATAGGCCCAAGACATGCCCATCGACACAGCGCATTGCCGCAACCTATTCAACAATTATATCATCTGACATATGTAAATCTCAAAACAAAGGCAATGAGAAAAAATGTATATAGTAGTATTTGGTTGTTACCTTTCCGTGAATTTTATATTTAATGGGACCATCTAGTTCAGCCCCCAATGCCATTAATCTTGTCACTGCGGTGTTGATGTCTGTTACTGTGAAAGATAGAAGTGAGGAATATCCCTTCTGCACAACATGATCACTGTGACTATATTAACTTACTACGATCACTGAAAAACTCTACGAAAATAGCGAGAAAAATAAAGATTTTATGAAAATTTCCAACGTTAAATACAATAGAAAAAGGCCCGAAAACATGTAGAAATTCTGCACTAGACCACCAGCTGCCATTTGAACAACACAAATGCAATGAAGGAATATTACTGAAACACAGTTAAATTTGGGCTTGGAGTTACGTTTGAGTTGCAAAAATCTGACTAATATAGACGAAGTAAATACTAAAACCATCAAAATGAAACACACATCATAAAAAAAGATCCCATACTATATCCAATGCATCCTAAACAACTCCAAGAAGAGGATAATAGTGATTGAGAATAAATGATCCCATTTTTTCATATTATATTTTTTCATTTCTTTATCCACCTTCTCCATGAGCCATTCCAAGCAAGAGGACAAGAACAATATCACACGCACGCATCAATAAGTTTATCGGGAAAAATTGTACTTTTAGACAAATGATCATACATATACAAGGCAAAAAGCAGAGATGGGAAAAAGAAAGAGAAATACTTGGGGGATTGCATGAGTGCAAGTTTGAGGGGACCGGATTGAAGCTCAGCCCAACGATGAGTACACACATTGACAGTAAAGTCCAGTCCTTGGGAGTAGAACTGAGCTGCCTTTGGCACATCCTTGTGAAGTTGCAGTATCCACCTAAACGATGCTGCCATTGTCAATTCTCTGTGCGAGCTTTGGCTAATTGGAGGAAACAGATATTGAGCGAGCTTTGGCTAATTGGAGGAAACAGATATTGAGTTTGATTATTATTAGGAAATACAGAGAACTAGAGTACATGGCCTCACAAAATGAGATAAAAATGGAATGCATGCACCAATAATGAATGCTAATTTATAATGTTTTCTGAACTTATGACGCAATGTTTTAATACTCTCCAATTTAATTATTATTGATTATTGTATACTAATTTCTAATTATTAAATTTTGATCATCCTATAAATTATGCGATTATTTTCATGATTTTTATATTTAAACACTATATTACTAAATACGCCCCAACCAACCCCACAAAAAAAAAAAACAATAACAACAACAAGCCTTAATCCCAACTTAATTGGGATCGGTTATATGAATTTTACTTTTCTACGCAGTTATGTTCGAAATTAAACTTTCCTGAAGGTCTAGATCTAGAATGTCTTTCCTAATTACTTCAGTCCACGTATTTCTTGGTCTACCCCCTCACTCTCCTAGTATTAGGTATAAGAATGTCTTCCCAAGCACGAACTGGTGCTTCTAGCAGTCTACGTTGGACATGCCCGTACCACCTCAAGCGGTATTCGTGCACCTTATTTTCTATTGGTGCTACACCTACTTTACTACGAATAACTTTATTCCTTATACAATCCATTCTCGTATGACCACTCATCCATCTTAATATACGCATTTCTGCCACATTCATCTTAGATATAAAGTCTCTTAATGGCCCAACATTCACTACCATATAAGATAGCTGGGCGGATTACAATCCTATAGAACTTTCCTTTCAACATTCACTCTCGTAGCATTCTTCTATTTAACCCACTCTGCCTTAATCCTACATTGAATATCCACTTCTATATCTCCTTCGTATTGCACTATAGACCCAAGGTACTTAAACTTCCTAGAAGCCTCAATCTCCACACCATTTAAAGAAACTCCATCACTCTGATTACTTGAGTTATTAAATCTATAATGCACGTATTCAGTTTTCGTCCTACTTAACTTAAATCCCTTCGTCTCGAGAGTCTGTCTCCACAGTTCTAACTTATGGTTAACTCCTTCCCTATGTTCATCAACTAAAACTATATCGTTCGCAAAAAGCATACACCAAGGAACTCTATCTTGGATTTCTCTTGTTAGCTCATCCACCACGATGATGAAAAGATAAGGACTAAGAGCAGATCCTTGATGAAGACCGATCCGAATGGGAAACTCTGCCATGTAGCCTCCAGCAATTCTCACACTCGTGACCACCCTATCGTACATGTCCTTAATTACCTTGATATACCTCATATGCACTCCTCTCTTTTCTAGCACCCACCATAAAACTTCTCTCGGCATCCTATCACATGCCTTTTCTAAATCTATAAAGACCATATGTAGGTTAATCTTGGCTTCTCTGTACCTTTCCATCAACATCATAAGAAGAAAAATGGCTTATGTGGTTGATATGCCTGGCATGAAGCTAAATTGATTACCTGAGATGGTAGTTGTGGCCCTTAATCTCCTTTCAACAACTCTCTCCTAAAGTTTCATAGTGTGGCTTATTAACTTTATGCCCCTATAATTGTTACAATTCAGCACATCTCTTTTATTCTTGAAGATGGAGACAATAATACTTTTCCTCCATGCATCAGGCATATGCTACTTCTTTAGTATCTCATTAAAAAGCTTAGTGAGCCACACAATTCTAACATCTCTTAACGCCATCCAAACCTCTATTGGAATATCATCTAACCCACATGTCTTCCCCTTTTTCATTTTCCGTAGTGCAGTTTTAACTTCCGAGACTTGATTCCTCTTGTATACATCACATTAGGTTCTCCTTGTGACCTAAGGGCCCGTTCAGTTTGTTGATTCGAGTTTTTAATTCGAGTTGAGATGTGATTTTATGTGAGAGCTTTTTACTGTAGCAAAAAAGTTAGATGTGATTATTTCTGAGAGCTTTTTACTGTAGCAAAACTCGAATTCTAAACTCGAATCGGCGAAATGAATGAGGCCTAAGATCGTCAAACTCTATCGCATGATCATCATTATAAAGCTTCTCAAAGTAACTCCTCCACCTTTACCTAATATCTTTATCTTTCGTCAGAACCTGATCCATATCATTCTTAACACACCTCACTTGATTTAGGTCCCAACACTTCATTTCTCTTATCCTAGCTAGTTTATATATATCCTTCTCTCCTTCTCTAGTCCCAAATTTCCTATATACCTCATCTAAGTAAGTAGAACGAGTCTTACCAACTGCTCGCTTAGCTTCTTTCTTCGTTTCTTTGTATTTATTAAAAGTTTCAACATCTTTACGCTTTCGTAAATCTCTATATAAATCCCTCTTGGTCCTAATAGCCTTTTGAACTTCCTCACTCCACCACAAGGTTTCTTTCCCTGGGGGGCATTTACCTCTAGATTCTCCTAGTAGCTCCTTTACCACTTTGCTAATGCAGCTGACCATGACATCCCACATAGCATTTGCATCACTTATATATGATCAAGTAGCCTCATCTAACAACTTCTCTTTAAAGGCCAATTGCTTTATTCCCTTCAAATGCTATTGACGTGTAAATGAGCTGTAAATAGAGTAGGAGAATCAGTTAGAAATCCCTTGATTTAAGGGATCGGATTAGGCAGTTTCCTGATTTAGGAATGATTTAGTTTCCTATTCTTTCTCCTGTAATTTGCTATATAATACCGTGTAATATGTCTATTCATAATAACAGAAAATCAGAGTTCTTTTTTGTGACATGATATCAAAGCCCTAGGGCTTTTATTTTCTGGGATTTCTTTCTCTTCTCGAGCAGCCTTCATTGCTGCGTGTCTGTGTTGTTTTTATGGGTTCTTTTTTCTGCGTATTCCAACCTTCATCTCCTAATCCCTGTTCGGGCAGCCTTAATTGCTGCGATTTAGCCTTGATCGCTGCCATTCCTTATTATTCTTCCTTCGATAATCCCTGTTCGGGCAGCATTAATTGTTGCTATTTTTCTTCATCATGTCAACCTCGAAACCACCATCTCTAGCAACCCATCCGAAGAATCCAATTCTGTTCAGAAAACCGGAGAATTGCAGAACATCCGAGCCTCCAACAGGCTTAATGGGAAGAACTACCTCAAATGGACCCAAATTGTTCGCACATACCTAAAGGGCAAGGGGAGACTTAATCACCTGCTTAGAAAGGGGCCAGAAACGAAGGATCCAACCTTTGAAGCATGGGATGAGGAAGACTCCATGATTATGTCCTGGCTATGGGACTCTATGGATCCAACGATCAGTGACACATGTATATTCTTGACTAATGCAAAGCAAATTTGGGATTATATTCACCACACATATTCGAAGGCTCGTGATGATGCTCAAGTGTACGAGATTAAGATCAAAACTGGAGCCACTAAACAAGGAGACAAATCTGTCACGGAATATGCAAACCTGTTGCAAAATATGTGGCAAGAACTAGACCATTACCGAGTGATAGAGATGAAGTGCCCTGAGGATGCTACCATTTTCAAGAACTTCATTGAATGAGATCGGATATACGATTTCTTGGCTGGATTGAATCCAGAATTCGATCAGGTTAGGGTTCAAATCATTGGCAAGGGGAACACACTGTCTCTAGAAGAGACAATCTCACTTATCTGAGCAGAAGAAAGCCGAAGGAGTATTATGCTTGAACAACCAACCATGGACCGGTCAGCCTTAGTAGCAAAAACAGATCACCAGAAGAAAGGAAAGGGTGATCTGCCTAAACACCCAGGTAGAGAAAATCAGTGGAAGGAGAACAAGGACAATCTTTGGTGCACCTATTGTAAGAAATCAAGGCACACAAAAGAGACGTGTTAGAAGCTGAATGGTAAGCCACCAAGCCGAGAGTGGGGAAACCGTGAGGGCAACCGTGGGGGTCAGCAGAGGCCTTAAGCACACATAGCCAAGCAACCCAAAACTGAGGAAAATTCAACAACCGGGGGGTTCAACAAGGAAGAAATAAAGAAATTGAGGAGCTTGTTGGGATCACTTGATAAGCCTTCAGGGACCTGTTCTTTAGCTCTTTCAGGTAAACATTCCATTTTGTTTTGCATGAATGCCTCAGAAACATTCTATGTTAACTCTTGGATAATAGACTCAAGTGCCACAGACCATATGACTCCCACATCTCAACTTCCACACTTACACCCCATGCCTGAGTAACAGAAAAATTATAGTGGCCAATGGTTCTTTAGCCACTGTTGCAGGGACCGGAGATATCCATATCACACCTACCCTTACCTTAAAAATGTCCTCCATGTACCAAAATTGTCGGCCAGCCTTGTGTCCATTCAAAAACTTACCAATGATCTTAAATGCTATGCTACTTTTTTCCCTTCTTATTGTGTTTTTCAGGATCAGGGCTCGGGGAGGAGGATTGGACTTGCTAAGAAAAAGAGCGGCCTTTATCATCTTGAATCATCTCAGAAAATTAGGAGCAATTTGTCTGTCTTTTCTCAGTTCCTCAAATAAAGATGCCATTTGGCTGTATCACCTATTTGGCTGTATCAACTATGAATCAAATAAAAGTCTTGTTTCCTCATTTATTCCAAGGATTAGATATTTCTGAGTTTCATTGTGATGTTTGTGAACTGGCAAAACATACTCGTGTATCTTTTCCTATTAGGAATAAAAGAAGTTCTCATCCTTTTCATTTGATTCATAGTGACATATGGGGTCCTTCTACTATACCTAATATTTCCGAGGCTTGTTGGTTTGTATCTTTAATTGATGATTGTACTCGGGTTACATGGCTCTTCCTTCTAAAATAAAAATCTGATGTGAGTATTGTTATACCTAATTTCCACTCAATGGTTCAAAACCAGTTTGGGGTTAAAAGAAAAAGCTTTAGGACAGACAATGCTAGAGACTACTTCAATCAAATTTTGTCACCCTACTTTCAATCACAAGGCATTATTCATGATTCATCATGTGTTAACACACCCCAACAAAATGGGGTAGCTGAGAGGAAAAATGGGCATTTATTAAACACCATCCG